CAGCGGCAACAGGAAGAGGTGCAGGCGCTTGGCTGGGATCCAAAACTATACCACCATACTGTTCTTCATAAGCCACAACCTAAAAGCCAGAACAATGTAAAATTTTTTTTTGTTACAATTTATTTTTGTTAATCAAGACTTTAATGTCTTATTTACAAAAAAAAAAAAATACAAAAAAAAACAAAAAATGCAATACATTGAATATAAAATGAAAAAGTTGAAATAAAAATTAAATTAAAACAGTAATACAAAAATAATAACATAAATGAAAGATGACGTGATGATGTATGCCGCGTACTACGTCAGGACGCGTGCAGACATTGGGCTAGGTGTTTGGTAGATCGGAAGGCCATTTCTTGCTCAATCTTCTTATCGGTCTGTGAATCGCTTGAATTGTAGGATTTGTATGCTGGATTAATTTATTGTTGAAAGATGAACTTCTAATCTTGATCATTTCGTTGACTGTTGAGATTTCAAATCCTTATGTAGGCAAAATTCGAAATATACCAAGGCGCATTAATAAGGATACGCAGAATTTTATTCTGGCACCTTTGAATGATGTTTATGTTAGATTTGCATGAGCAACCCCATAGTTCGATTCCATAAGTCCAAATGGGCACTATGATTGTTTTATACAAAAAGTACCTTGTTATCGAGAGAGATTTCAGATTTCCTCCCAAAAAGCCAGTAAAAATCTTTTACTTTCAGTTGGATTTGTTTCTTTTTATATTCAATGTGCGTTCTCCATGTCAATTTCGAATCAATGTGCATGCCTAAATATTTAACAGAATTGCATAGTGGAATTATTGAATTGTTCATGATGATAGGTGGACTGTTGTGATGTTTTAGAGAAATAATTATGTGCTGTGATTTTTCGATATTGATTTTGATATTCCAATCTAAAAACCATTTTTCGAGACTAGATAAATAATTTTGTAACTGACAAGTTGCTGTTCTAATATCGGAATTGCATGAAAAAATTGCTATGTCATCGGCGTGTAGTGCATATGGTTAGAAGATCATCTGTGGGCATATCGTTTGTGAAAAGAAGATAAAGTACAGGGCTTCACACTGCCCTGTGGTACCCCGCATTCTATATTTCTGATGCTCGAAGTCACATCTTTAATTATGATTCTAATTTTCTATTAAGCAAATATGAGCTTAAGATATTGAAGTAGTTTGGAAAAGTTGTTTGATTTTATATAGGAGTCCTGAGTGCCAAACCTTATCAAAAGCCTGACTGACATCTAAGAATACGGCTACACTGTGTTCCTTTCTATTCATGGCTTCAAGAATACGAGACACCGTTCTGTTGCATTGTTGAATGTAGAGTGATTTTTTCTGAAGCCAAAGTGATGGTGAGGAATCCAACTATCATTCGGATGATCTTCTGACAATCTCTGCAACAAAAGTCTTTCTAAAATTTTCGATAATATCGATAAAAGATGATAGGACGTATGAATAGCTAGCTATTCTTTTGTTATTCTATGTCTAATATTTAGGATATTACGTACGACATGACCCTGTTTTAATAGTTCTAATTTAATTGCATCTGTGCTTGTTGAAAAGTGTACATTTCTAAGAACAACCCTATAAGCCTTCTCTTCTTTCAATTGATATGTACGATATACGGCATTAGTTTCTTTTAGATGTCTGGATAAAGTTCGAAAATGGTCGACAGAATTACATAGAATTTTAAATGTATTGTTAGCTAAACTTCTCAGGAAATATTGATCGTGCGGAATTATTTCATTTAATTGATTAGACATAACATTAATATCGTCAACTCCGTAAATAAATATTGGAGGGGGCTTACTGACTGGAGCCGGTTTAACTGAGATGTCATCATTAGCTGTTTCTATTGTTGAAAGGGCCGAAAATCTGTTTTGAATTTTGACATCTATTCCTAAGGGTTCAAATGAAGTTTTTCTTTTTTTGAAATTCACTACTTGCCATGAATTAGGAGGTTTCTTGACATCAGAATGTGGTTGAGTGAGGCTTGTAGATGCACTATTACTAGATGATATTACTTCCTGTCTTGAGTCAGAAACTGATGAAGTTGAACGCAGCGAGACCTTTTCCGATGTAAACATATTGGTCCGACCTTCTTCGCGAGGTATCTTGCTGTATTTGCTGGATCCAATAACGGTCTTTCGTAGTTTTGGGATTTCTGATGGTTTACTGTCCGATTCCATATTCGCTTCTATATCTTGATTGAAATGTAAGACATTTTTTGATTCCACAAACGCACATTAGAGTCTCGATTATGTATGGTTTTTTGTAAGCAATTATTTAATTATCTGTACACTTTTGTAAGCTTTTCATGCAATATTAATAAACCGTAAAATTCAATCTGACATGCACTTGTTTTTTTTTCATTACACCAACAATGTAAAATAATACATCAAAGTAATATGACAACATAATCTGTTACTTACATCCAACAATTCCTGTCTAACCCACTCTCTGTAATCATTATTTCCAAAACATTCTTCTTCGAGTACAACCCACATAGATATTCAGCAATTCCTTTATTGAGCCAGGTGTCAGACCAGCTCTGCATAGTAATGAAGCAGCCAAAGAATTGTTCAGCTATTGCTTGAGACATTGCTTTCCTGGTTATATAAGTTTGATCAATTATAGCTATGGAATGAAGTGTAGGCCGCTACATCTTGAACAGTCTAAAAGAATAAAAGGGGATTTATTTTACAATCTATGAATTAAATTAAATTCTAAAGAAACTTTATTCACCTCATCAACAAAAACTTGCTTATAACAAGGATATGGATATCTTGTAGCTAAAGTTTCCTCATAAAACTCAAAAGCTTCATGCATATATCGAACAGAGTTCTTCAATAATGGCATTAGTTGTGGTAGACAAAAGTGGGTCACTTCGTGCATATGGGGGTCCACATAAGTTTCAAAAGGTCTAGTATGAAAAAAAAAGCACAAAGTTATTGATAAATAATACAATATTGATATATCTAGTCCATACCCAACAGCTAAAGCAATATTAGGAGCACAAGCAGGAGTATTTAAAACATAATGGTAAGTCTTCCTCCTCATATCAGGCGTCATAGTAATTTCTACAAGATCACCACAAGAGACAGCTGTCATTGCTGCGTCAACAGTAAACTCAAGACTCCAAGTACAAGGCTCTGCATAAGAATACACGCAAGGAAACCAGAGTCTTGATGAGTTTTCATGTGCATAGGTGTACATATGAGCTGCCCTCCAAAAAAACAATCATAAAAATACTGCCAGTTATATTGTGATTTTCTTTCACAAACCTCTTCCATGGTGCCTTCAGTTTCAGGCACAACAAAATGCAAGCCACCTTGAGGTTGCTCTAAAGAAAATTCTATTCCAACTCTTAAACCTCTACCTTCACCAATGAGATGGCTTGCTTCATGGGACACATTGATAAATAATTCTCCTGCATTACAATCAGGATCTATATTTTGAGCAGCCGCTAAGTGACACTTGGAAAATACCTCCAAAGACCTCCTGGTAATAGAAAGGATATTTATCAACAATCCTACTAGTAGAAATTGATAATTATGGGTAAAAACATAGAACAACTTACGTCTTTGAATCATTTTTGCAGATATCCAAAAAGGGATCAAAATATTGAAAAGTAGCCTCACAATCGCCTAATGTGACTCTATAAATTCTACATTGCTTAGCATTTAGTTTAATGCTTCTCAAATTGTCTTTCAAAGGTACTATTGTCAATTCCACGAAGCCCTATTATAAAAATGAGTACACAAATTTTTGTAGTTTGATAAAATAAAGTGAAAATTATTTGTATTTAATATTTACAATTATGCTCTTCCTCTCGAAGCTAATACCAGTCAAACTTAATATTTGATGAGCTGTAAAATAAATATTTTTAATGAATTTATATATCTAAACACCTGCAAATGAAAACTTGATAGACTACTTATAATTTAAACGGTCTGGAATTATCCACTGAACGTTCATTCTTCATTTTTGACTAAATTAAAACTTAAATATACAAATTTAATATTAAAAAATAAATTTATTAAACATTATTATTGCAAAGTTTGCTTCTAGGTTACAAACGTCTTGTTGAATGTTGATATCAAAAGCCTTCCAGTGATGCCAATTCTGTCATGTCATAACAATGAAAATCGTAATGTATACATGCTGCCAACACAAGAACAATATAACGAAAATTTGTAAATGAGGCAAATTTAAAATTAACAATCACAGTAAGAGACATTAAATAACATATTATTGCTAATAAAATCGATATATAATTTAACTAAAACTACTAGATGTAAGTAGCATTTTGCCTTGAGGCAAGTTGCATGAACTGATATCACTAAAAAATCTGTAATTAAATTAATTATAATGCACAACCAAGTGCTTGTATGTCCTAAAAGCTTATGATCAATATATAAATGTGTACATCAATTTAAACAATACTAGAATAATCACAATAATTAGAGCAGGTTTACAGAAATAACCGTTTATAAATATTTCACTGGCTTTCACATGAGCACCCAAGTGTCTCTTCTCATATAGGTACTTTATATTTTTGAGCTTTATGGTTATTTAAAGTTTTTGATGCATGAAGAGATTTGCTACATGTTTCACATTGATAAGGAAATTCTCTAGAATTGATAAACTTGTGTGCATTTAAAGCATCAGATTGTGCTAATGATTTATTGCATATTCCACATTTCTGAAGAAAATTTCCAGAATGATTAGTCATATGTTTTTTTAAACTATATACGGAACGAAATAGTTTGTTACATATTCCACAGTTATAAGGAAGATCTTCAGAATGAATAAGCATGTGTTTCTCTAATCGAATCAATCGTGTGAATGTTTTATCACATATTTTGCAGATATGTTGCTGTTTTCCAGTATGAGTGAACATATGTCGTTTCAAACCTTTTGGTGAGCGAAAGTTTCTGTTACATATATTGCATTTGCAAGCAAGTTCTCCAGAATGAATTGGCTGTTCTCTGTTATGAGCAATATGTTGTATGAGTGTACATATGTCGTTTCAAACCTTTTGATGAATGGAAGTCTCTGTTGCATATTTTGCACTTCAAAAGAAGTTCTCCGGCATGAATTGGCAGTTCTCTGTTATGAGCAATAATATGTCGATCTAAATGGTGTCTTAAAGCAAATGCATTATCACATATTGTGCATACGAAAGGGTTTATAGGAGCCTGCATTAATTCCTGTTTGATTTCTTCCTCTACAGTTATTTTAGAATTCATAAATCTTTCCAGACATGTTTCTCCATTCTCTGAACAAGATTCAGACTTAATATCCTCTTCATTTTGAGGATCTTCTGCTGAATATTCTAGTGGTTCAATTTTAATCGAGGTAGTTTTTTCTTCTGACATTATTAGATATATTAGATACCTGATTATAACAGAGAAAACAGTTGTGTACTAATTAATCATGTATTTTAATCAATGATATTAAATTTAACTAATTTAAGGTGATACTTGCAGCATAAGGTTAGGAATTTTTCCCGTCGTAACATTTTAGAAAGAAATGTTTTGATAATCATCTTCAATCTTATCATCTCAACAGGAATATTTTTATAAATTACTTTTATTTTTATAAATTACTCCATTTATGTATAATGTCTATTTTAATGTAATGTAAATAATAGAAAGTTTATTTTGTACGTCAAAATAATCGTCAATGTTGGCCACATTGCCGCCATGTTAGAATTGTTCACACGCAAAGAATCCTCAAACTGTGATGGCCAAATTGGTATCTTTAAACAAACTTATACCTGCAATTATTTAAATTATTACATATTGTGTACGTCTCAAGAACGCCTAATACTTTATTCCAACCTTTAGTGAATTTCTAAAAATCATAGAACTTCTTGTCCTTTTCAGGAACGCCCTTTTTGTAAGACTTTTTGTCTTGTTCTAGTTTGCTCGTCAGTACAGTCCTTTTCTTTTTTTATGTTGTTATTAATTGTTATCGATTGTATTAATAATTCTATTATTTATACATATGAAATTAACAATAAAACGTTTATAACAATAAAACTAATGGAATACACGTGTAATGGAAATAATGCATTAGGTTTGGGCAACATGGCAAGCGAATTTAAATTAATTGTTCAACACAACTGATATATGTTCATCGGAAAAAAATTCGATATATTATTAATTATTTTATGACTATTGTATTGATTGTACTTCAAAGTTAAACTCAAACACAACAAATATTTAATAAAACAGTACAAACATATATATGCAAACCAGTATGTAAACATTTTTTTATCCAAAACAATCATTTTCTACTATTTTGCCCATTTTATTTTCTGCACCTGCCATGGGACCTGCTTCGCCTACTTCTGGAGCCTGATCTACGATGCCTTCCCCGTGATAGTCTTTTGCGCGCAAAACGGACGTTTTTAGATTTTGCTTTGCATTTACGTTTTCGACGACCTCTAAAATGGCATTCGATTGTAGAATAATACGAACATGTACAACATTGTTTAATAATTTACCCTTTGGCAAGAATGGCATTGCATTTAGGGCATCTTTCAGACTCGCGCCTTTTTGAAGGCTCCGCTTTTTTGGCCTCATTGATATAGGGCTGTTTATCGCTACAAGCCATACAATTCCAAGTCTAACAAATCAAAAACATTAATTCTGTTGTTATAAATTAATTGCCAGATTTTGGTGTCAATTTACAAATCCAAAACATCTACTTTGATATTATAAATAAAGAGCTCAACCTCAAAATATTTCAAATTATGTGCACTTTTAAGCAAGGAAACATATTTTTTATATTTATATTGTTTGCTTACAATTATAAATAGAGTTTTAATTAAATTTCCAATGCTTTTGAATTTTACAAAAATCTTTAAAATTTTTATTAAAAATACATCTCAATCAAAAAAGAGTTTAAAATAGTTTATTGGTTTAATTATTAAATATTAAAAAAAAATGTTTTTAAAAATTCAATTTTTTACTTAATAAAATTAAAAATTTCATATTTAAATATTTTAATATAAAATAACAGTTTATTTTTTATCAAATGAAAGTCCATAATCAATGATTACAAATAAAAATCACTTTTACTTAATAGAATAAAACAAATAAAATAAACTTTAGTAAAATCAAAAATCACTGTTTATATAAATTTTATAAAAATCTTAAATATTTTATTATTCTTATTCATAAATCGTCAGTAGAGTCCTATTTTCGTCATTTTTATGCTTGAAATGATTTTTTTTAAATTTCTTTGCATCTATTTTGTTTGCTCGTCAGTAGAGTTCTATTTTTTATCATAAATTGTAAGAGTTTTTTATCCTTGAAGTTATTTTTTTGAATCTTGGTTTCTATTTTGTTTGCTTGTCAGTAGAGTCCTTTCTTTATTTTCTAGTCTGATAATCAATTTGCTCGTCAGTAGAGTCCTTTTTAATATCTTAGGTCAATATTAAATTTGCTCGTCAGTAGAGTCCTTTTTATATTTTGGGTCAATATTAAATTTACTCGTCAGTAGAGTCCTTTTTTTACCTTTTAGTCTGATATTTAATTTGCTCGTCAGTAGAGTCCTTTTTTATATTTCAGGCCAATACTGAATTTGATTTTTCTGTTAAAGCTGGGATTTTGTTTATTTGTGAATAAAGTCATTTTTAATTTTTTTTTTTACAAAATTTGAGTTTGCTCATCAGTTCTTCTTCATTTTATACCCAAGCTTGCAGTTTTGTTTACTCGTCAGTAGAGTCCTATTTATTACTTTAGGTCAATTTTCAGTTTGCTCATCGAATCCTCTTTTGGTCTATTGTGTTTATATTTAATTTGCTCGATAGTAAAATCATCTATTTGTCTTTCAGGTCTATATTTAATTTGGTTGTTAGTAGTTAGTAGTTAGTCTTTTTTTAAAGTTAATTTTGTTCATCGGTAGAGTTTTCTTTTTCATATAGGTAGAAAATTTCTACCTAGAAATCTACTCTACCTAGAATTCTACCTCTACTAGAAATCTACTTTGCTCTATATAATAAAGTCTCATTTGCATTTCCTATGCTACTATTTTGTTTGTCAGTAGAGCCATTTCTTTATCGTCTAATCTGATATTTAATTTGCTCGTCAGTCTGGTAATCAATTTACTCGTCAGTAGAGTCCTTTTTTGATACTTTAGTCTGATATTTAATTTGCTTGTCAGTAGAGTCCTTTTTTATATTTCAGGTCACTACTAAAGGTCTTTAGTAAATTTTTTTCATGTTCTCAGCTGCTAATTCGTGTGCTCGTCAGTACAGTCCTTTTTCATATCTTGGGTCAATAATAAATTTGCTCGTCAGTAGAGTCGTATTTCACATTTCAAGATGAATTTCTGTTGGTTTCATTACAAGTTTCATCTTTTTTAAATTAATGAGATATTTAATTTGCTCTTCAGTATAGTTCTTTTTAATTTAAGTTATTGTAATGGGCCGAAAATTAAGAATATTTTTTTTTTGCATTTCTTCACGTTTCAGAGGTTTCTGAACATTTTGACATACCTCAGAAAAAATGGATGTGTGAGTTTATGTGGATACAATTTTTTCTGTCGACGTTTTCGGGCGCACCGATCAACCGATTCGAATGATTCATTTACCTTTCGATTCCTATTGATAGGGAGATGTGTTGATTAGTTTTTGGCAAAGGCAAGTCCAGCCGTTACAGAGATACGGAGCAAAGAGTGCAGAAGATCCAATCGGATTTGAATGATCTAAAAAACATTCAATTTGTAATGATTGGGAGAAGTGGTTATTAGTTTTTGGTAAAGCCAGGTCTAGTTGTTTTGGAGATATTGTGCAAAAATGTGTAAAAATTGCAGTTTTTGAGAGAACTAAGCGTCCGATTGGAATGATTCAAAAAACTTTCTGCTTGTTTTGACGAAACAATTTTGAGAAAAAAACATTTTTTTAATTTATTTTTGTAATTTTCAAGAAATATTTTTAACTAAATTTTATTTTCGAATATTTCATTATGGTACGGAGTATATTTATATTATATTTTTATTTATATTTTAACTTATATTTATAATTTATATTTATATTTATATTTACATTTATATTTACATTTACATTTAACTTTGCCTTAAGGAACAATGCGATACACCACTAGTTCTGTTTTGTTTGATCGTTAGTAGAGTCCTTTTCTATTATCGGAGTATTTTTAATCCGGTTTCCCCTACAAAATATTGTTTTTATGAAAAGGGATTTTGTGAATGGATTATAAAATGAAATTGCGGACAATTTTCTATAAAAATGGGTTCAGTTTAGTTTTTAGTAGTTGACTCTGGTTTTGTCCTCGCGTGTTTTGGGCCTGATAAGATTTTATAGGGCACGAATAGTAATATATATATATATATATATATATATATATATATATATATATACTAGCAAACCCGACAAACTCCGTTTCGCCACCAGATGGTTTCGTGAGAAAGATGAAGAAATTTTTTGTTTGTTTTATATTAAGGAAAAATTTGATCATTAAGGAAAACCGATAAAAGAAGAAGATAATCTATTTGAAATTATTTAAAACAATAATATATAATAATAAATAATGGTAAATTATAATTTATATATTTATAATAGCATTAAAAATATGTATAATATTTGAAAACAATAATGTAATTAAAGTCATACTTCAAATACGATATAATCGGTTTGTCATTGTAATTAGCATTTAGGACTTGAACCTTCATTAGAGAAATGAAGTAATTGCTGATTAATAAATTCCATAATATTTGTTCACACAGGGGATTATGTTAAACGACGCCTAAACAAATATTGCTTTCACAATATCACTCATCATCATATAATATTTGTGCTTCAAGAACTTCATGTTATTGAAATTAACATACATTCAGTGACTGATTGTATTTTTTTTACTTTTTCGCTGGCGATACAGTTTCATTCTTTGAACAGCTGTAATATCTGTCTTGTCTAAAAAATATTTTCCAATTCAATAACTCTAAAGATTTATAAAAACTACGAATAATATAAAAATAATTTCAAATGAATAAACTTACGTTTAGTACACGGCCCAAATTGTTTAATTTGTTTTATTATTTTCAAGGAACAGGGTAAAGTATTCTTCTGATTCAGGCATTTTTCATTAAATCAAGATTTGTACTACGATGTAACTATGAAATGTTTATTTATCTATGCCGATTTCGTTGTTGATATCGGTACGCATACAACGTTGATGTCGTTACGCATGCAACGACAGATCTCTATTCACATACACGACGACTAATCACAATCGACCCGTATAAAAGTGATATCATCGAGAGCGAATGACGAATCACTGGCACTCGACTCTTACCTTAACGACTCTTATCAGCCGTAACGCACTTCCGTTGCATTTGTACGGATTTA